GGTGGCATGGCACAGGGGCATCACAGAGGAGAAACAGTCCATGGCAGGGCAGCAAGAAGCAGCGAGGGGTCAAAGGAGAAGAGAGGGAGAGATACCTTTGCAGCCCATGCTCCAGATCCAGTCACTTCCCAGAAGCCCCAACTATGAGCTCAGGAGCCTGGAGGGACATCTAGACATAAACATAACAAAGACCTTACACAAACAAGGGTCAGTCTGGGAGTTGCGTATTTTCTTCTGGGGCTCCCAAATCACTACAGAAAGGCATTGTGCACTAGCTGCATGCCATCTGATTGAACAGCTATTGTTAAGAGCCCAGTGAGAGCTGCCAAGATGAAGGAGACCATCTCTCCTGAATTCAACAGGGGGACAGGGAAGGAGTGGAGTAAAAACACAAGCAGAGCCTCTACTCATGCCAGTGGAGAGTGAAGAGGGTTCATAGAAACAATTAAGTGCTGCCTGGGACATGGCACAGCAATTCTGAGAAACATCCTGAGCTGAGGCAGTTGGCTCAGCCTTGAGGGATCCCACAGGTATAGGTGGAAAGGGAGGGCTTTGCAGGAGAGGGAGGAGCAGAGCAAAGGTGGAGCAATGACTACAGTGTTACAGTGTTATGGGGCGGAGGGCAGGACCTTGGGCCTTGGGAGGAAGCACGGGGCAGAGAAATCAGACACCACTATTGTGAGGTTCACAGCTATCTCCAGATAGTCTTATTATAATGCCACTTGGACAAAATTACAATGGCACTATTACAAAAATAAATCTAACCTATCAACAGGACTGTTCTCATTTTGATAAAATAAGGAGCACCTTGAAATTTAAATAAAAGTAACTATACTTTCATTTATGTTAATAATAATAATCAATTAATTAAAGTTCAGGTAATACAAGAATTTCAGGCCAATAAGAGATTGGGGCAGGGTCTTCTGATTCCCTTCATATAATGCCCCTTATTCCACCCACAGTGCTGGCAGTGGTTACAGAAAATTCTTTAGGAAACCACAGGCCAAATTGTTCGAAGACAAGATGGAGGGTGATTAGCGTGTCCGCCGTGCCCTGCTGTGCCCTGGTCCTCGTTTCCCTTCCTCCCCTGAAGAGCAGAGACGAGTTTGGAATGCAACCCTGCCTCACCCGCACTGTCAGTCGCATTTGGCCTGGCGCATCATTCAGGCCCGATGAGCCAGCAAAAAGGAGCGAGATTGAAGACTGGAGGCACCAAGGGAGGTGAGGACAGCAGGAGCTTACAGAGTCAGAGACCTGAAAATGTGGACCCAGCAGGTCCAGCCCAAGTCCAGGGTCTGCTTGAAGGCCAAGGACACCTCCAGCTGCCCTGAGAGATCCCAGCCTGTCCTAACCCCTCGGCCAGCATCCACCGGATCTCCCATCTCCAGGCCCTGGGATAACGACTACTGCTGTGGATAGTCCCATTGCAGAGGAGTAAACTGAGGCTGAGAAGTGCAGTATTCACCCAAGGTTGCTCAGTGAGTGAGAGGGCGAATGGGAACTTCGTTCTAGGTCTGCCCATCTCGAAACCAATCTTCTCCCTCCTGCTCTTCCTTCCTCTCCATCACCACGGTCCAGTGGCCATCTGGAATTCTCTGATTCCCTTCAGTTGATGTCATCTCTACACCTACTGAGAACAAGCACCTGGCATTGGGTAACGACGTAGGAATTAAGAGATGGGGGAAATGTGTCACTCACAAGCTTGAGAGTCTTTGCAATCATGAGTCATAGCCTTCTGGCCGTGTGCTCTGCAATTTGACCACGACCTCCACCCTCTTTCAGAACCATTCATTCAACAGATGCATGATCACTTGTCCCTGTCCATGCCAGGCTGGTCCTAGGTGCTGAGGTTTGCGTGGGGACAGGACAGTTAAGGTCCTTGCAGTCATGAAGCAAAACTTTCTCGTGGAGGGAGAGGAGTGAGAAGACATTGAAATACATAAACTGAAATACATAAACTGTGCTAAAATTAAGACAGATGCAAACAGAGCAGAGACAGGCCCAGATCACATGAGTGTCAGTCTGAGCTTAGCCCACAACCTTCTACATTAATACCAAGCATTGGTTCTCTATTTACCGAATCACATAAAAACAAGTCTCTTCATTACAAAACCTCAGGAAATACCCTGTGAGCACCCGGCAGAGAGCCAGAAGGAGGGACTATTTATTGCAAGACCCAGGAAAAGATGCTGCTGATAAAGCAGCTCCACCTCTGAGCCAAAATGAATGTGGAGCCTGGGAAAAGGGCAGATTTCATTCACAGTGGAAACCCAGGAGGATGACATTACCATTATGACTGCAGGGTCTAAATGGAGACTCTTGTAAATCAAAATTAAATTAAGCTTTCAGTATCATAAGCAAGGATTTCAACTTCCAGAACGTCAATGTGTTTGTCCATATATGGCTTTTATATTCCCACCCCACAGTGCTCTGTCTTTGAACCCGATGCATTTGACATCCACTGTGCTTGTTTGGCAATTACCAATGCACTGCCTGTGAGCTTGAATTGTTTTCCTGCATTGTTCCTTATCTCTTCCAGTGCTGAGCTTCTCATCCAGTGATGATTCATCTACCAGCTGGTTTACAGGGATCACATCTTACTCTTTCCACCTTGAACTGCAGCGGCTGGGCGGGGAAACTCATTAGATGCTGGGAGCCGGCCTCCCTACAGACTACAAGGAAGGGAAGGAGAGAGTCAGAGGAAGGGAGAGACATTCGTCATCACTGAGATGGTCTACTGTGACAGATTAAACCAAGAGCAATGAAGGAAAAGAATTAAATTCCATCCACATGGGTCACTAGGAAACCCAACCTGGACGGGAAGGAAGCGAGGGAGCCCCTGGAAAAGTGGGGTGGTAGCTGATAGGAAGAGGAAGAAGAGAGTGCAAAGACCTGGATAAGAGGAAAGGAGGGTCGATGCATGCACTGTGCACACGTTCACACTGTACACCGCACGGGAACACAGCAGAGGAGCAAGGTGGGGAATGAGGCAAGTTCTTACAGCACTTTCCTTAAAGCAAGAAGAAGCCAGGAGGAGTGAGCACCACACGGCATCAGGATCAGATGTGCACACTGGACAGGCCTCCTGGCTGCCGTGTGGAGCAGCCTTCTCTCAACATTCACACACTCCTCCTGAGGAGTGAAGAGGTTTTGAGTACACATCCTCGACGTTTGTAAACTTAACTATTGTGCATTTATGTATTTATATACACTGTACAGTTGATTAACATTACAAAGCATACAAGCATAGGAATTGTTAAAAGGAAGCTAAGAGAAAAAGAAATAGTTGTGAGGTCTTGTCTTGACAAAATGCACATGGGGTTTCATGATTATATTGTTCATTATGAGTCCATTCGAAAATGTCCCCAATGAAAGGTTTGCTTTAATTCTTGAAGATTATAATTGCAGGCTACTATTAGTTATAACTCAAAGCACAATGTAGACTTAGGGTGAGTTTTGCTATTAATAGATAGCAGTTTGTCCTGCTTCATCCAGTATTTTGGGTAGTTTTGAAAGTAGAGGTCAACTTGGTGTCAGGCTGGATTAGATCACCGTTATCATTCCTTGCCAAGTCCAGATCAGCACCAAGGAGCTGAGCATCTCACTGGTGGCTCACCTTCCCTCTTGTTGGCCTTCGATCTACAAAATGAAACCGGAATCCTTTGAAGTTGCTTGTCAATTTTTTTGAAAGTTCGTTTAATTAGAACTATTGAATGTAATCCACAACCAGGTTGCACCAGGAGGAGAATAATCTGTAACACATCACAAGGCACCGAGAGCAAACAAAAGTGCAAGGGCCTCCCAGGAGCCCAAGCGTGTTCTGGAGCCCCCGGCACACCCTGGGAACCAACAGGAGGCTCACTGGCTTCATAAGCATTGGTCAGGTGGCCAGAATCAATCATTCGTTCAACATCAGTAAGCTTTATTTCTTCCTGAATGTCATAAAATTAATAAAAATCAAAATTCTCCTGTCTCCCACCTGCACTCCAGTGAATCACTCTGTGCAGTCTCAGACACTGCCCCACAGCCTGGGTAAGGAGCACTCATAAGCACCTCAGGAAGCCCTGCAGTGTCCAGGGGGGCAGGAGGGGACGCAGGTAGATGCAGGAGATGATTACCAGTGCATCCCAGCTCAGGGCAATGCCCAGCATGGGGATGTGGAGGAAGGACATGGGTATCCCTGAGTGTGTGTCTTACACAAGCAGTTGTGCCTTACGCAAATGTCATGTTAAGTTAGCACCTGACCTGAAGTTGAAACCTACTCGTGCTGTGTAAATGGATTGCTCACACTAATCATGTTGGTGGTGACATTTTCTCTGCTTTGGTTTTTCATCCACCTATTTTACAGCAGGATCACTGGGTTTTTACTTAGCTAATCTCATCTGTGGGGAGCTTCTGACATGGACCCTGAGCGAGGCAGAGACCACACAGCCTCAACCCACTCAACCACCGGTCTAGGCCGAGCATGCAGCCCACATCGCAGCTGCTGTGGGGCCTTCTGGTCCCAGCACTTCGAACCCACGTTCTGGGCAGGAAGCCCTCTGTCACACCTGGGACAGCAGGCAGGGACGGGGCAGGCATGACTAGGACGAATATGCAGATCTGTAAAATGACAATGATAATACTATTTTTAAATGTAGGGGGCGGGGATTTAGCTCAGTGGTTCTGCCGCTTGCCTCGCAAGTGCAAGGACCCGAGTTGGATCCCCGGTACCAAAATAAATAAATAACTAAAAATGTAAACTCTGGTTGACTGAGCAGTCGTGTGTGCCCGTCACAAGCTGGTGACTGTTTGTGCCTTCATTTCACCGACAAGCTGGGAGGAGAGAGGTCACATACTGTCCTTGCTTGGAGTCACACAGCCATGCAGCTAAGATACTCAAGACGGCAGAGAAGCCGCACAGAGAAGCAGGAGGCCCAGGTGAGAAGCCAGGTTCAACAGGTGGTCGCTGTGTGACTCTGGCTGACCTCAGAGCCCCCTCACTTTCCTCCTCTGTGAGGTAAGAAACCAGAGCCCTCAGGGCTCCTCCCAGCTGCAGCAGCCGGTGAGTCCATTCCAACAGTTTTCCCATGCAGCCAGCCTTCTCGTGAGCAACTGCCATCGCAGCCCTCTGTCCTAGCTCACATGGTGGATGCTGTGTTCAGGGGATAATGAGGGATCATCATGGCTGCCTTTTTTTAGTTCTCAAGCTCAACTGAAAACCGCCACCGTAGTGCTGTTAAGGTAGCAGCCTGGGTGTTCTGGGGCCTGCTGAGTGGCGGGGACAGGCCACAGTCACACTGGCCTGTTGTGGTGCTGTGTTGTTGTAACCAAGGCCGGGAGGCTTAGCGCCTCGCGTCTTCTATCAGCTGGAGACTATTCGTGTCTCTCAGTTCTCAGAGGACTGTGCCTGAAGCAGCATTATGTTCCCCAAAGACACATGACAGGTGGCTCCATTCAGTGCCCAGGACAGACACAAGACCGGCTCCGTCCCTGCTCAGACAGCTGTAGGGGACAGCGAGTCCCTTCCTTCCTTGGCTGGAGGAGACTTCACCCAGGCCCTGCCTCTCGTGCATCTCAGGTCTGCTTTTATGATCCCAGACAGCTCCGTTAGCGATCTCCTCCTGGCTCTGGCCACAGGGACATAATCTTCAGCTCTGCCACTAATTAAAACACCACCAAGGCAAAGTCACCTAACACCTCAAGCCCAATCCTCCTTGAGTGGAAAATCAAGATGACAGAACTTCATAGGGCCTTTAACAATATCAAGTAAGAACTTACTTCCATGGGTGCGTGCCTACCCCAGGGCCCACATACCCTAAGCACTCAACAAACACTCGTTAAATCAGAACTGTAGTCGTCAGTCTCCAAACCTGGCAGAGGCAAGGGAAAAGATTTTTTGTCACTCAGAGGCAAATGATTTTGGAACCTGGTGATCCCCCAAAGTACTAGAAATTTAATTCTAATAATTTAATTCTAGTAAGTCAATACTTGCTAGGTTCCCAGCTCAGTTCTAGGGGCTGAGGATGAAGAGAAGAAAGAGACACGCAAGAACTTGCTCCCCTGGGACTTGATCGGTGCAAGCAACTTGAAAGCTTGAAGTTTAAATCCACTTGGGGACAATAGCATCACACAGATCTGTTAGGCCAGAGGGGGAAAACCAGGTCTCCAGCCCTAAGCCTGGCCCCAGAGAAGAGCAGCTGCACATGCGGTGACAAGGCCTTGACAGTCTCATCATAAAGCACAGTCCCGTGTGGGAAGGACTGAGACTCTAATGCAGAGTGGCCTTTCTATATCCATATCAATGCATCTCGGTGTGCACAGGGAGAGGCGGAAAACATTAGTGGTTTTGCTCTGAGTTGTACAACAACAGGTTTTCTTTTATTCAGGTTTATATATACTTTCTAAATGTCCTGAAATAAGCATGTATTATTTTTACAATACAGAAGCAAAATTGGGCGGGGGATATAGCTCAGTGGTGCTACGCCTGCCTTGAAAGCACAAGGTCCTGAGTTGGATTCCTGGTACCAAAAAAGAAAAAAAGAAAAACCAACCTGTCCTTCTTTTTATAAGAGTCATCGGATACAGGTCTGAGTGTAAAAGAAACCAACAGGTTTTGTCAGCTCACCCCGGCAGGGGTCTCCTGGTTCCGTCTCCCCTTACATTGGCTCGTTGCCCTGAATCCTAATTTTCAACACCAACTCCAATCACAATTTTGAACAGCTCTGCACTGAGCTCCCTCCTGCTATCGCTTAAGCCGACCCATGGTCTCAGAGCAGCATACACTAGTGCAGACGACACACTGCACAACGCGAGTTTGCAATTACTGCAGATGATGTTGCGAATGACGCCTCTTGAGGGGTGCAGTGCCCATCCACATACCAGGGAGCCCTGCCGGGTGCCCTGACCCCTTTATCACAACTGCCTCAGCATTATGCCAAGTGCTACTGAGATGAAACCGGCTAGGCTTGGGAGTCGGACACCGCACGGTCACAACGCTGGCTTCACAGTCAGGCTGCTGCTCTGTACATTGCTTCCTACCTAGCTGCTGAGTTACTTACCAGGCTTGCCCAACCTGCTACCATGAGTTGGTCACACCTGGCTTGCCTGGGTCGCACTGTGTGAGGAGAAATTCTCCTGAACCATGCATAAAATCCACGATGTAATTAATGGATACAAGTATCAAAACTTCCTTTTAATATATTTTTAACGGATAAAAAGGTGTCCAACCCATGGGATACAGGTTGAATGTGTCTGCTTTTGGTTACCTATAAAGGGAGATCAGGGAGATCACACTAACAGCCACCTGCTAGGGTTCTGGAAATTATGTGAAATTAAAACATATAGGGCTGGGGATTTAGCTCAGTGGTTCCGCCGCCTGCCTTGCAAGCAGAAGGACCGGAGTTCGATCCCCTGTCCCAAAAAAAAATACAGCACTGAATTTTCTGTCCCATGTTTTAGCTACTATAATTATGATTCCCTCTAAAGTCACACCGAGAAACCTAAAACAGGGCCTCAGTGCTAACTGAATCTTATGTTCTCATTGAGCTTTTTCTGGCTGAGGTCTGAGGGAAGGCCAGGCAGGGTGTGAGCGAGTCCCACAGAGGCAGAATGGGGCCAGTGCTGCTTCCCAAGGTCACGCAGAGTGCAGAGAGTGTGCAGGGGTGGGGTGGGGGGTGGGGAGTGTTCCAGCTGCTCCAGGAGGGTTAGGTTGCTGTGTACAGACAGACCCCGGCAGCAGAGGCAAGTGACAAGTGACAGAGTGGAGATGTGGTTGGTGACTGTGCTAACCAGTGGAAAAGGCCCTGGGGGAAGAGCTAGGGACAGGGTGGGATGCCCTCTCCTCTCTGTGTGGACACAGCGTCTTTGAGGCTCCTTCAGCATTAGTGTCAGTGCCTGTGGAAGGCATTAGGAGTGGCTCCAGCTTCGAGTGTTGAACACACCCAGAGTTACAGTGGGCAAAGTGGAAAGGCAGGGATTCCAAGGCTGGCCTGGGCCCAGCTCCTTCCGCTCACATTCCACCTCCTGAAAGGTGCAGCCACATCTTGGGATCTGAGAAGCATCCACAAGGAGTGGAAAAGAGGTGGGGGCATAAGGTTACCAGGAACTGCTCCATCTAATACTCAGGACCTCGCCACAGCCACGCCTGGATGCAAGGAAACCTGAGCAGTGTCCTGGACATTGGGCAGCTCATTTCCTGTTGCTCGTAACAAACTGACGCACACTCAGCAGCTTAAATCAACACAAGCCTGTTGCCTCTTTGCAGAGGCCAGTAGTCTAGAATGGGTCTCACTGGGCTCAGATCAAGGCAGGGATCTAAAAGAATCCACTGTCACACCTTCTCCAACTTCTAATGCTCATTCTGCCTCCTCTGCCTTCCTCCCGACCCTAGGGCCCTGGTGATGACACAGAGCCTATTTGCATAAGCCAGCACAGGAGTTAAGGCCAACCGATTAGCATTCTCAATGCAACGCAACCTTAATGCCTCCTCACCACACAACATGCCACATTCACTAGGCTCTGGGGGTGAGGACATGAACATCTTTGCAGCTGAAGGAGGAATTATTCTGTCCACCTCAGACAACCATGGCAAAAAGTCTACCACTCTAGAGAAGTGATCTCCAACATTTTGGCACCAGGAACCAGCTTCATGGATGGCACCAGGATGGTTTGGGAGGATTCAAGCACACTGCATATAGTGAGCACTTTATTTCTATTATTATGACATTGCAGTATATAATGAAATAATTATACAACTCACCATAGCACAGAATCAGGGGCAGCCCTGAGCTTGTTTTCCTGCAACTAGACAGTCCCGTGCAGCACCCAGTCTGCTGCTTATGTGCAGACTACTTCATAATCTCATAGGCTGCTGTCCCTACAGAAAACCCTGCCTCACAAAGAAAGGGTGTTGGAAATGGAAGCAGGCTTTTCAGTGCTTTTGTGGCAACCTCAGGATACTCTCCCTTGACTTCAATCGAACATATGGAGATGTGAAGTTATCTCAGACATAATTCTAAGATCACCGTTCCTTGTGACTCAAGAAGTTGATCCTCTTCTAGCAAAGACAGAGTCGATTCACCTGGCTTCTTCACACATGGGACCCCTGCTCTAGAAGGAGGACAGAAGGACACACCACACTCACAAGGCGATGATCAATCAGAAGCCCTGGGTGGAGGAGCTGCCTCAGGAAGTGTGCGTGACCCCAGCCAGGCTAGTCCTGTCATTCCTGGTACTTGGCTGGAATTGTGATGCTCTCCCTCTTTTTCTAGGGTCCCAGCTCTGAGGACAGTGACAATGAGGAACACCAGTCGCTGCTTTTTGTCAAGATTGAAAAAGCTTCCTTGTGCTGGCAGCCAATGCAGAGATTCACCAGGAGTGAGACAGAAAGAGAGATACAGAGGCCCAGGACCTCCAGCCATCCCCACAGCCCAGATCCACCCTGGGCTTTCCAAGCGCTTGAGCCAATAAATCTCCTCTGCTCTTTATTCCTCCTAAACTAAGTTTCTTTCACCGACAGCCAAGCATTTACTAACATGCTCAAGAAATACCTGTTGGGGCCAGTCACAGCTTCCCAAACCCTGGCATGTCTTCAAGATCCCAGGTCTAAAAGGCCCTGGTTCTAAATCAACGATCGGGACCCCACAAGTTCCTGATAGGTTTAATACACTCTCACAGATCTCCAAATGCCTTTGGGCTCACTTGGCTTACCTCAGCCCAAAGGATACACAATGTCTGTAAGTTCATTTTTCTGCATGGAAAATGCCTTGTACAACCAGAGCACCTGGCCAATTACTCCAAAATGACTGCAGACCTCCATAAGGAAGGCTCCTGGAGGACATCCATGAGGAAACCAGTGGCAACAGGAGGATGAGCGCCTGAGGGTGAAGAAAGAGCTTGCCTTCTTCAAGCCCAGCCGGAAGAGAACGAAGGTATTTCCCTCTCACCCACCCCCAGTGTTGGCACAGCTTTCCCTGGTCTAAGTCCTGCCTGAGGTCCAGCTCTCAGCTGTGTTCCAAGTGAAACACACATTCTGAATTGCACCTAGAAGCAGAATGCTGCCTTCAGGGAATTCAGTCATTGAGAAAGAAATTCAGGAGAAACAAATATCACCTGGCCATCCACTGCCAAGGAAAATGTCAGAATCAGAGCTCCTCTGGAGTTGCCAAAGGGCCCTGGAGCTAAGGAATTTTACAAAGTTCTGAGAAGCCACTTCACTAACTAAGTGTCCCATTTCAGAATTCGAGCCTGCAGTGTGAGTGGCTCAGTAGAGCAGATGTGCACATCTCTCCCGACTCACACACAGCCCAGTGCCCTTTGTGTTCTCATGAGTGGATTTGGCCTTCTCTACCATGCAAGGCTGGAGCATCTCAAGTCTGGTGTCTCCAACACCCACTTCAGTCATTCACTGAGAAGTCAGTCCTTGTGATCTTGGCATCATGATAAAGTCAAGTGTGAAATCGGAGTAATCACCTCCATTCCCACAGTGGCCCCATGAACATTCTACCATTGCTTCCTTTAACATAACTAAATCCCCATTTAACAAAATCAGAAAGGGTAAGTTAGGTGCCCAGGATCTCAATTACAACAAAAAGGTGTGTGTTTGAAAACAACTCTATCCCACTGAATCACCGAATAAGTAGAATGTGTCTAGTGGTTGCTGGAAGTGAAGGACTCATTGCAAGCATGTAATAAGAGTGCCCATTCTGGCACTCAGCTTTAATCTGTCTTCTAGGTGACTTTATTCTGAGAAAAAGCCCCTTAGCCAACATTTGTGTCTCTTCCAAAATTCATGATGGAGCTGAACCCGCAGTGCAGAAGTGTCAGGAGGCGGGGCCTTCAGGAGACCATTGGGATTACTGGCTTGAAGGCATAAGTTTGTTTCTTCCTCCCTTTCCATGATATGGGACCCAGCAATGAGGCATCACCCTGGAAGCAGAAAGCAGCCCTCAGCAGATACCAAAGCTGCCAGAACCTTGATCTTGGGCTTTGCTAGACTCCAGAGCTGTGAGAAATAAATTCCCATTCTTTATAAGTTAGCCAGTGTAAGGTATTTTGTTACAGCAGCACAGGCAGACCACAACATCAAGTAATCAAGAGTAACTTTAATCTTCTATAAAAAACGGAGCTACAAATACCCATCTCTCTGGGCTTTGTGAGTATCTGAGGCGATATTTGTAAAATATCTGACACCAGTCAACTTCCTGGGCAAAGGGGCTGAGGCCCTTGAGCTAGCTCACCCCTCCCTCGCTCTTCTGTCACCAGATGAGCAGCCCCTCTGCCTCCTGGAGGCCCTGGGGGAACTTCCTCTGGAGCCCCTTCCCTTTACAAGGCATGGGAAGCAGGCTCTCAGGAGCACATATTCTGCCTCTGACATGTCATAAATCCATAGCCACGTCTTCACGTTCCTTGTATTCTTATGTGGTTCATGTAAAATCTCATTCAACCCTTGGCCCTGAATACCCATCTCTAGGACCCGGTTACTAAGAAGCAGCAGTTCACAGGAGATTTTATCAACAGGGGTTACTTCTGTGTGGATGTGAATCTATCTCCGAGAAAATAAATCCCTGGTGCATTCAGACAAAACACAATGTCCGTTTTATCTTCTTGTTCTAAAAAAGTCACTTCTACATCTGGAAGGATCTTGCCTGACCTGGGTCTCCCACACCTGATTGGCCTTTATGATCAGAGGGGACCACTGCCCACCAAGCCATGTCTGTTTCCATAGCTGTGTACTTGACTTCAAAGGAAAATACAAAAGCTGCTGGGGGCAGGGGACACCTTGAAAGCAAAAACTTCCAGCAGCCATTATTATGGTGGTCAGTCACTATTAGGAGCTTACGGGGTACCAGACATAGTGCCAAGTAGTCTACATACACTGTCTAATGGAATCTTCCCATCAACCCAGTTTACAAATGTGAAAAACTGAGGCTCTGAGTGCTTAACTAACTTTCCCAAGGTCATAAAAATGATGTCACAACCAAGTTCCCTATCTCCCACGATGCCTTTCCTACTGTCCCTGGACTCATTAAAAATAGCACAATGAGAACTTTTGGGGGGACAGATTTCCAATAAGAAAATTTGAAGGGAGTAAGTTAATCATTTAATTAAATTTTGTAAGTTTTCAGTTAAGTAGCAGGCCTATTTGAAGTTTCCTTTGGGAGATGGAGTCAATAAACCAACACAACAACCAGTGTTCATGGTGCGCACACAGTGTTCCAAACTCTGTCCCGAGCTATTTTAATTTAGTGAATCCCACTCAACCTAGTGGTGAGGGGGCTAAACTTATTATTCCCATTGCACAAGTAATGAAACTGGGGCAAAGAACTATTAAGCACTTGCTCAGGTTCTGCTAAATTTACCTAATATTCACATCGCAGTACTTCCACGTGTTTTCTTATTTGATGTTGTATTTGATTCACAGGAGAATATTTTATCATTTCTACACCTCCATTTGTGAAATGGAGAACCCAAGTTTTGCTTTGGTCCTGCCACTATTGCGCTATGGAATCCCAGGTGGGCATCCTGCCTCCTTAGGCCCCAGTTTCTGTCAGGTGGGAGGGCTGGGACTAGGGTCTCTCTAAGGTCCCTCTGGCTCAGATACCTGAGATAATAGAGAGAGATGGCCTTGTTCTCTGGAATGTCCCTCCCTTTTGCTCTGGCAAACTGGAGGTGTCTTGGCTGAACTACAAGGAGGTTGGCAGCTCTCCAGGGTTATGGATAACTATGCACCTTCATTATCCAGGTGCCCAAGGGCCAGGGACAGTGGGTGCATTTTCACACTGATCTAATCAAAAGCTGCTTGATTCAGGGCAAGGTCCCTCAACTAGTGCAACATCTCTGTTTCTATGAGATGTTTTCACAGATGGTTGGCTAGAGCAGGTCTCCTTGAGGTGCTGTAGGACTTCACACCTGAGAAACCCAGGATCCCTGGCCCAGGAAAAGCCATGTTTCTCCATGCATTCCCTCTGGGGCAGGTCTGTTGGGCCGTAACTCGAGGTCTGAAGCAACAGGGAGACTCCGGATCCCACAAGCATGACATCAGAGGCTGAAGTCTCTGCTTCCTCCAGAGATTTTTGTTTTGTTTTGGTACCGAGGATCGAACTTGGGACCTTCTGCTTGCAAGGCAGGCGGCGAAACCACTAAGCTAAATCCCGGCCCCTGGCTTTTGTTTTTTAAGGCAATCAATTCTGCTTACATTTAGAAGGGCACTGTGTCCTCGCAGGCTTTGCTTTAAAAACAAAATGTGGAGGACAGACAAGAAATTAGTATAGGCCTCTTGAGTACATGAAGACCTGTCACAGGACACCTGAATTTTTTTTTTTTTTTTTTTTTAGGACACCTGATTTTTGAAGAGTGGAGAGTAAATGGAAAGTAACATAAGGCTCTCACTTAATCAAAAGGTTCAGCAAACAGGGCTTTTTATCAAGTGCCCAAACAACTGTAATGCCATCAAACAACTACAATGTATTCAATTTGGAGAGACCTGGTTTTCCCTCTATAATTAGGGTGACAAAAATTTTTTCTACCTAACACCAAGCCCTCCTGCTCTAGAAAATTTCTATTAGTCCTAGGGCAAGGTGAACCTACTTTATGGTGCCAAAATGGCCAGATACTTACTTTCCCAGATTCCCTTGCAGCTAAGTCACAACCAAGCAGACTTAACCAAAAACTAATGATGCAGACAATGAAAGCCAATGGCAAAGTCATGTTGCTGAAGCCAGCAGCAGAAATAGCAAGTGCCGACACCCAGGGACAGTGATGGCCACAGCAGAACACTCTGCAATGTCCCCTACTCAGCAGATGTCAGCAGTATCCTCACCAGGCTGCTTCTCGGGAATTCCTTCACCCACGGTCAAAGCTGCCTTCTTCCCCTGCTTATTCCAGCTCATTTGCTAAGCCTGAGTCTTCCTTCCATGAACTCTCCAGTAGCCATTCCTTTTTATTTTTTTTTCAAATCATCCAAAGTTGATTTCTGTTGTTTATTATTAAGAATCTGATGAATACACTAGTTATGTGACTTGGACAAGTTTTTTAATCATTCTGACTCTGTTTCCACCTCTGGAAAATGGGATCATACTCTTGTCTTCCATTTATATACTCAGCAAATATGCAATCACTGAACACCTATTAGATGGTAGCACTGTCCAGGCTCTTCTGCACTCACAGATTTATATTTGTAGCAGACATCCCTGCCCAGTACTAGCAGGCTATGAGTGACACCTGTTTCTTGCTTTCCATAATTTGGCTGTATTGTTTTATATCAGGAGTCAGACCAAAGCTCTACATGACTCAGATGGGAGTGTCAGATGGTGGACTATGAAAGCATAGCCCCTCCCTCAATGGCTGCCATGGAAACCTAGGCCTTGGTCTGTGAGGTGGCAGGGCTCTGCTGAATTATGTGTAGCTGAAGTCAGTGTGACCCCAATTAAAATCCTTTCCCCTGAATTATGGCTTCTCACTGACCTGCTGGGTTGCTTGCTAACTGCACCTGGTCCCAGTACCAGTTTGTTCTATCCAAGCCAGATAAGTGGTGCCGACTCCCTGACAGCACTGCCTGGCACCGTCATGCCAGGTGTTCAGCAGTGTCTCACTGGATGCCTTCAAAGCACACCCTACTCCCTATTCCTTCCCATGACTGTATTCAATAAACACTGGATGCTCTTGGGGGCCTTTGTCTTTGCTGCCATCAGCAGCACTGATCAGCCCCAAGACCCAGCTTCTTCATTCTAAGTCCAGTTCCTGTCTTTATTCTTTAATTTGCCTTGTGCTGTAGTGGCTCACAGAAGGCCAGGACCCACAGCAGAGGTTCCGGCAATGTCCCCTTCCCCATACCGTATATATATATTCAGATAGGAAAGACAAACAATAATATTAAATCATTACAGAAATAATGTATTGCCATTACATAATGTTCAATGAAAAATTCATAGCAGCATTATTCATAATGGCCCAAAACAAGCCAAATATGCACCAACCAATGAATAGTGAAACAAAATGTGCTACATTCTTACAATGAAATATTGTTTGGCCATAAAAAAAGAATGAAGTACTAGTATATGATACAATATAGTTATACTGTGCAGACATCATGCTAAGGAAAAGAGAGCAGGCACAAATGGCCACATATCATATGATTCCATCACCATGAAATGTTCAGAATAGGCAAATCCATAGACAGAAAGATTAGTGGTTTCCAGGGGCTAGGATAGGAGAGAAGGGGGAGTGACTGCTAACAGTTACATGGTTCCCTTTTAGGGTGATGGACATGTTCTGGAATTAGATAATGGTGATTGTTGCATAAACTCATGAATACCCTAAAAACCACTGAACCCTTTAAAAGGATGTTTATGGTATGTGGATTATATTACATCCATCCTCTTCACTGCTTTTATGCCCAGCTTCTGTCTCTCCTAACACTCACAGTTTTCCTCAACAGTGTTATAAAAGACAGACTCTGGTAACCCTAGGTGCAAGTCCTTCTCACTTAGCAGTCCCATCCAAAAGACACCCTTCCTGTCTCCTAATCTGTAGATCAATAGCAAAGAAGACTCTTATTGGCCCTACTTAGGTCATATGACCACAGATGGACCAATCACTGCCCTGGGGAGGGAGCATATAGGCTTTCCCTGGTTTCCTGGCAACCAGTGTGGAGAGGGGAAGGGTACTGTGATGAACAGCCCACCAGAACTACGTGGGAAGGGGAAAATTTTCCCTAAAAAGAAAGGAGGGGCTGTTACCAAAAAAGGAAGTGAAATGGTGTGCTTAACAACTAATGTCTATCTCAATGCACCATGACTGCTACAGAAACCAAGCCTGCTTTGAGGTGCTAGAAAACCCTCCCTAAAGATATTTAAAACAAGCCAGAGAAAATGAGTAGAAATGCGGTACCTGAGGAAGACTGCTACGGGTAGCACAATATGGGAGACAACACATGTACAATCATCAACTCTAAGCCCCCAGCAAACATGTTATTATCATTCCAGGACCCAGGAACCCCGACACCCAGACCAAGTCCCTTTCCGCTCTGGAGAGTTGGGACTTAGAAATCACTCTGCCCCGGGTTCTGCCCTGCAGAGGCTCAGCCCCAAGAGCTGCCACAGCCCTGACTTCTGACGGTTCTTGGCTGTTCTGTGTCACAGGCACAAGAAGTACCATTTCATGCCTAGTTCCAGCC